CTCCCCTCCCCCTCCCCTCCCCTCCCCTCCTGAGCGAAGACAGAACTGCGTGAGCCGGAGGCTGACGAACCGCGAGCTGGGCTCGCGCCGACTCGGCTGAGAGTGGACGCTGTGTCGTTTGGCCCCTCCCCTCCCCTCCTCCTCCAGCCTCTTTTTCTGCACTTTTTGGGGGCGGAGAGAGAGAGAAGGGAGCTGGACTAAGGATAAAGCCCCCCTTTTCCCGCCAAGGACCTGAAAAGCCATGGGAGAGAGGGAGGGAGGGGGGGGATTCTTTTTTCCTGGAAGGAAACGTCTCTTTTTCATTTGTCTGTTGGGAAGGGGGGGCGCCTCCCCGCTGGCTGCCTTGTTTGTTTGGCTCCGGCTTTTGGCGCGAGGGCGACTCCGCCCCCCTCCTCCTCTCCTCCTCCTCCTCCTCCTCCCGCTGCAACTACTCCGGCGGCGGAGGGACCCCGGGCACTGGCGGGTCTGCCCGCGTTTTTCGGGGCCGGGACCAGCCCACTTTGAGGAAAGGGGGGGGACGGCGGCGGGAATCTCCTTGCCGGCGCCGCCTCCTCCTCCTCCCCCGCCCGCTCTCTTGCCGGGACGGTCTCTCGGCCGCGCAGGCGCCATTTTGGGAGCCATCAGGTGTGGGGGGGGGATTGTGGAAGGTCGCCCCCCCTCCTGCCTCTCTTGCAGGGAGGGGGCGGAGGACCGTGGAGCCGCCCACTGGGCGGGGGGGGAGGTTTGCAACGCGTGGCGCTCCCCCCCCCTTCCCGTGAATACATGGAACTGCCTAGTACAGTTCGTCCAAGTCAGGTTTATCTGCTCAGGGTCTCAGGCTGGGGGGGGGGGGGGGCCTTCCCCCCCCCCCGAAATTTTCAGGAAGGTGCTCAGCCTCCCCCGGGAGCCACCCTTGCTCCTAGCAAAGCAATGCCTCTGGCCCAGCCCCAGCCCCCTAGGTCGGTGGTTCAGCAGTTCGAGACCCGAGTGTGCCGCATGACGGAGTGAGCTCCCGTCTCTGGTTCCAGCTCCTGCCAACCTAGCAGTTCGAAAGCAAGAAATTGCAAGTAGATAAATAGGGACCACTTCGGTGGGAAGGGAACAGCGTTCCGTGCACCTTGGTGTTTAGTCATGCCGGCCACATGACCACGGAAACGTCTTCGGACAGCGCTGGCTCTTCGGCTTTGAAACGGAGATGAGCACCGCAACCCTAGAGTCGGATTCGACTGGCTTTCGAGCAAGGGAACCTTTACCTTTACCCTTCCAATGTGCTCCGGAATTTGCTTAATTTCATCGACAACACTGTCTTACATTCCAGGTTCCTATGTAGTATTGTTCTTTGCGGCTTCGGATTTTCCTTTCGCCATCAGACACACTTCACTCTTTCTGGGGTCCCTTCCAATGTTCCCCCTAAGCTGTAGAGTCTTGTGAGCAAAAATTCTGCTTTGTGAGCGACTGGCATTAAAGTTGTGAGCGAGCGATTTGGCTGCTGCATCAATCAATTTGCTCCGGAGCCCTCCTTCCTGAGCCGAGACAAAAGATGTGTGAGCCAGAGGCTAAAAAACTGTGAGCTAGCTCACACTATGGGAACACTGCCTGCATGCCAAGCAGAGGCTCTACCACTTAGCCACAGTCCTCCCCAACATGAACACATTAGTCCATTGAGGTCAGTATTGCCTACTTAAAGACTGTCAGCGGCTTTCCAGGGTCTGAGGCTTGAGGTCTTTCCCGTCACCTACTGTCTGGTCCTTTTTGCTGGAGATGCCGGGGATTGAACCTGGGACCTCTTGCATGCCAGGCAGAGGCTCTTCCACTGAGCTGCAGCCCTCCCCAACATGAACACATGAAGCTGCCTTATACTGACTCAGACCATTGGTCCATTGAGGTCAGTGTAAGCTCTTCAGGGTCTCAGGCCGAGGTCTTTCCCATCACCTCCTGCCAGACCTTTTAACTGGAGATGCTGGGGACTGAACCTGGGACCTCCTGCATGCCAGGCAGAGGCTCTTCCACTGAGCCACAGCCCCTCTTTACAGCTCTCCAGGGTATCAGGTCGAGGTCTTTTCCATCACCTCCTGCCTGGTCCTTTTAGCTGGAGATGCTGGGGAATGAATCTGGGACCTTCTGCATGCCAAGTAGAGGCTCTTCCACTGAACCACGGCCCCTTTACAGCTCTCCAGGGTATCAGGTCGAGGTCTTTTCCATCACCTCCTGCCTGGTCCTTTTAGCTGGAGATGCCGGGGACTGAACCTGGGACCTCCTGCATGCCAGGCAGAGGCTCTTCCACTGAGCCACAGCCCCTCTTTACGGCACTCCAGGGTCTTAGGCAGAGGTCTTTCCCACCACCTCCTGCCTGGTCCTTTTAACTGGAGATGCCGGGGACTGAACCTGGGACCTCCTGCATGCCAGGCAGAGGCTCTACCACTGAGCCACAGCCCGTCTCACAAACCCCCCCACACACACACACCCCTCCCCAATCGATTCTCTAGGGCTTTTGCATGCTCTCCCTTTACCTTGGGTGCCCTGTCAGATTGGGGGGGGGGGTGATGGATCTGGTGCCAGGGTTGCTTCTTGACCTCTCAGAGGGAAAGGGTTGGGGTCAATTTTCCATCTAAATCCCCCCCCCCACTGAGCAGTTCACATTCTGAGTGGAATATAACTGCTGTAATCCTAAAATGTGACAAGTGCGCTAAACTAAAACAGTACTGCAAAAATCAGAAAATATATGCTGTTTCAATTAGTTAAGGTGATATGCTTATTTTACAAGGTTGGAATACAAAAATACAGTCCGTTTCAAAGCACTTCTCTTCAGCACTTCTCTTCATGTATAAAATGGAAAATGTGTGACACCTGTTAAGGCATTCCATTTGACTGTGACTTGCCCAAAATGAATTTTCTGCTAGCAATTCTGCTTTGTTATTGACCTATGTAGAAAAAATATGTGAGCATCAGGCTTCATTTGCGCTCTTACAGATGAGACAAAAAAACCTGGAAATTATCCATAGAATCTTGTTCAGAAGGAGGAACGTCGAAACGACACAGGACATTCCGGAGCGCGTCGTTAACATCATTTGCTGCGTTAAAAACCACTTCTGTTTATTTGAAACGGACTGCATTTTTGTATCCCAACCTTGTAAAATAAGCATATCACTTTAATTGAAACAGCATATATTTTCTGATTTTTGCAGTACTGTATTTAGTTCAGCGCACTTATCACAGTAATAATCCCTGTGTAGTGTAACATCCATATACTGTGTACCATACTCTGTTTGCGTAATCTTAAAATGGGCAGTGCATGTCCCTGCAGGGCTCCGGATTGCTGCTGAGCGGGGCTCACTTAGAGGGAACACTGGCTGGAGTCTCTTTCCTCAGCTCCAGGGTCTTAAGCTTGAAGGGGCTAGACTGTAAGGTCGCTTTGGGGAGCAGGTTTATTGCTGCGGCCTGCTCTCCCCCACCCCCGAGTTCTTCTCTTGAAGAATTAGGCTCCGTCACCCTTTTCGGGGAGCAGCGATGGTACAGGGAGCAGAGGGCACTGCAGCATGGTGTTTGCAGAAGAGACATGTTGCCCGTCTCCAACCTTATTCTTAGTGAATGCCAACTCTGGGGACTGCAGGCTTCCCCCCCCCCCCCCCCCGCCCCCCTTGTCCCTGGTGAGGCAGGTGTGTGTGGGAATTACAGCCACCAACCCTAGGGCTGGGCTTTGGTTTTCTGTCGTCTCCTGTCGGGCACTGGGGATGCAGGTGTGGTCTGCTTTAAGGGGGTTCTACTCTTCCTATCGAAGCTCAGTTGCATGGCTGGATGCCTCCTTTGAGTGGATTCCGTGGCATGCTCAGAGATGGGAGGCCCTCTCATTGTAGCAGGAATTTGATCTGCTGCGACTTCCCTTTGTGTGTGTGGGGGGGGGGGGCGCATGAGCTACATCTTGTTTTGTTTGCCCTGATAGGGAATCCACGGGGAAATGTCCTGACATTTCTAGACGACTGTTATTATCCAGTAGCAGGATCGTTCCTTTCTCCAGAGACTTGTTTCCTGCTGTTCTGAAACCCCACTAGTGGAATCTTGTTTATTCCTTCCTGGATTTTTAGCAGGAAGAATCAAATCTTGCAGGAAAATGCGGAGCCTAGCTTTCTCTGTGCTTCATTAGGATAATTGTGGGAGCTTGTTTTCCGGCGTTACACATCTGAGCTAAAGGCAATTGTGTGTTTTGAGAGTATTGGTCCATGCCAGTACCTAGAGAAAAGGGTCTTTCTTTTTGGAAGGGTGGACACTGGGCGTGCGGATAGGGTTCCCAAGCCTGGGTTGGAAAATACCTGGAGACTTTGGGGGTGGAGCCAGGAGAGGGCGTGGTTTGGGGAGGGGAGGGGCCTCAGCATAGTACAATGCCACAGAGCCCACCCTTCAAAGCAGCCATTTTCTCCAGGGGAGCTGATCTCTTTCGGCTGGGGATCAGTGGTAAAAGCGGGAAATCCCCAGGCCCCACCTGGAGGCTGGCAACCACGTGCGGAAGAGGAACTCTTCTCCGTTGGTTGACTCACCTGTGAAACTTTATATCTCCGTAGCCCCCACGGAAACGACAGAGAACTGTGGAAGACTTCAATCAATTCTGCACCTTCGTGCTAGCCTACGCAGGCTACATCCCCTACCCAAAGGAGGTAAGACAGTATCCTGAAAAGGGCCTGGGTATCTCCCAAATTCAATGTTCCCTCTAAGCTGAGTTAGTGTGAGCTAGCTCACAGTTTTTTAGCCTCCGACTCACACATTTTTGTCTCAGCTCAGGAAGGATGGCTCCAGAGCAAACTGATTTATGCAGGAGCCAAATCTCTCGCTCACAGCTTTAATGCCAGCAGCTCACAAAGTAGAATTTTTGCTCACAGGTCTCCACAGCTTAGAGGGAGCCTTGCTCCCAGTTATGGTTTTCTGCTCAGGGAGTTGGGAATTCACATTCTCTCCTCCTCCTTGCTTTCTCCTTGACAGTCAGTTTGGTGTAGTGGTGAAGTGCGCGGACTCTAATCTGGGAGAACCGGGTTTGATTCCCCACTCCTCCACTTGCACCTGGCTGGATGACCTTGGGCAAGCCATAGTTCTGATAAGAGCTGTTCTCGAAAAAGAGCAGTTTCTGTCAGAGCCCTCTCAGCTCCACCTACCTCCCAGGCTGTCTGTTGTGGGGAGGGGAAGAGAAAGGAGTCTGTAAGCCACTCTGAGACACCTTTGGGTAGTGAAGGGTGGGGTATAAATCCAATCTCTTATTCTTCTAGCCTCAATAATGACCGTTGACCTCCTGGCAGTGTTCCCTCTAAGCTGAGTTAGGGTGAGCTAGCTCACAGTTTTTTTAGCCTCCGGCTCACACATTTTTGTCTTAGCTCACAAAGGATGGCTCTGGAGCAAAGTGCAGTAGCTAAATCACTCGCTCACAACTTTAATGTCAATAGCTCACAAAGTAGAATTTTTGCTCCCAAGACTGCACAGTTAAGAGGGAACATTGCCTCCTGGTCCTGTTTGTTTGTGTGCATAATTTTATAATTTCTAGAGTTGTTTCTACCTGTTCAGATATTCCAGTGTTGGGCACTCTGATCAGTTGGAAAGGCACCATAAAAAGTGGCTTCCTTTCTAGCTGCGGTGATTAAGAAAACAAATCTCCCTGAGTTTAATTAGGTTATTGCTGATAACTGTCGACCTATATACAAATTTGATAATTTTAAGTGTGTGCTGGTTTTTGTTGTTGTTGTTTTTTGTTTTTGTTTTTTGTTTGTTTGTTTTATTCTGTACAGTCGCTATGGCTTTCTTGCTAATGCAATAAATATTATTATTATTATTATTATTATTATTATTTTTCCCCATTCTAGAATGAGCCGTGGCCTCTTCGGGGCAACCTGAGCCCCCAGAACAGCACAGGAAGCACCCGAGACAGCGACAGCTGCGCCTCATCCCAGTCCTGCGACTCCCAGGGGCTGTCCGACGACGGAGGGGGCAGGAACACGACGTGCAAAGGGGCCGCGGGGGACCTGTTCCTGAACTGCTCCGACGTTTCTGGCGGCTTCTGCCCGGCCCGGCCCCATCAGCCTAAGAAGAAGAAGCACTCGGCAAAGAAGCTGATCTTGGACCGAGAAGCTGACAAGAGAGCGGTGCTGCTGAGCTTGAAGGAGGAAAGGCTCGAGCCGGGAGGAGAGACTCGTGGGGAAGGAGAGGAGCTGGGCTCCCGCCTCCCAAGGGAAGAACTGCAGTCCGGATCCCTCTTGGAGCAATACGTGAAGGAGGAGAAAGGGTGGATCTACGGGGTGCCGTCAGCCGAAAAGCCACTGGCTGGAGCCCTTGGGCCCGAGGAACAGAGCGCGTGCGAGGAGGGAAGAGTCAGCGCTGCCTGTTGGGACACAAGAGAGCAGAGCAGTGAAGAAGAGCTCAGTAGAGACGGCCTACAGCTCAGTAGTAAGTAGGCAACTCATGCAGTGGTTGTTCTCAGGGTCTCCAGTAGGGGGGTCTTCCTACCCGTGAACGCTTATGTGACGACCCCTTTACTAGGGGAGGTCTAGTTTTACTTTCAAATGTTCTTTCAGTTTCACTCTGGTAGGGTATTCTGGCTGCCACGAGGGAAATTTAGGCTTTCCCAACCTTTTTCTATAATATTTTTCACAGGGTAGGTATACCGAGGGTTTTAGGCGTTCGTGGTACTTTGTGGTTTGAGGAAGGATTCTTTACTGCTGGTATACTTGAAGGAAATAGATTTAAAGAAAGCATAAAGACGAGGGTAAACAATGTGAACAGAACTGGGAATGATTTGAACCATGGCTTGGTGTCTCTCACAAGCCTCTCTCCACTGACAGGGATATTTCATAGGCAACTTTGTAACACTTTTCACTGTACTTTTTCCTAGACTCTCAGCTTTTAATTTTAACTCCTATAACACAGAACTAAATGTCACTCTTTTCACACACAGGGCTGAGTCTCCTTCAACTCCGAGACAGCACTTAACTGACTTCTGCTTCTCTCACAGAAATCACACAGAACAAAACTCCTATTAACTGCTTTTACACAGCACTCTCTGCTGACTGACTAACTGTTTAACTGTTAAACCTTAACTGTCACTCCTGATAGACATACAAATCCTCCACACAGCATCCATTCCAAAACCCCTCCCCCTCTCTGTCACTCACCAATCATACCATTTGCCTGCTTCCAGCACCCTAGTCTTTCATACACCCATACAAACCAAACTTTTAAAGACACACACACAAATAAACATGAAATCGCCACAGCTTACATTTTCAACCCATCTTTTACCACAAAGATCTCACGGTGCCGTGCATAATTCCCCCCTGCCCATTTTATCCTTGCAAGGATCTAGCAAGGTTGGTTAGGAGCAGTGTTCCCTCTAAGCTGAGCTACCGTGAGCTAGCTCACCGTTTTTTATCCTCTGGCTCACACATTTTTGTCTTAGCTCAGGAAGGAGGGCTCCAGAGCAAACTGATTGATGCAGTAGCCAAATGGCTCGCTCACAACTTTAATGCCAGTAGCTCACAAAGTAAAAATTTTGCTCACAAGACTCCAAAGCTTAGAGGGAACATTGGTTAGGAGCAGTGTTCCCTCTAAGCTGAGCTACCGTGAGCTAGCTCACCGTTTTTTAGCCTCCAGCTCACAGATTTCTGTCTCTGCTCAGGAAGGAGGGCTCCAGAGCAAAGTAATTTCTGCAGCAGCCAAATCGCTCCCTCCCAACTTTAATGTCAGTCGCTCACAAAGTAGGATCTTTGCTCACAGGACTCCACAGCTTAGAGGGAGCATTGGTTAGGAGTGACTGGCCCAAGGCCACCCAACAGCATGCCACAGCACAGTAGGGATTTGAATCTGGGTCTCTGATCCTGGTCCAACTCCTGAATTACTACACCACACAGACTGGTGTGATGTTGATGGATTGAATGTGGGACTTTCTGTGTGCAAAGCTTCTGTCAGCGAGCAACGGCTTTCCCCTTTCAACAGGCAGTACTGTAGCTGGGACATTTTTGCTAAATTATTTGGGCACACCGTAGGTGTTACCGTAGGTGTCTGGTGTAGTGGTTAAGTGTGTGGACTCTAATCTGGGAGCACCGGGTTTGATTCCCCACTCCTCCACTTGCACCTGGCTGGATGACCTTGGGCAAGCCGTAGTTCTGATAAGAGCTGTTCTTGAAAAAAGAGCAGTCTCTGTCAAGAGCTCTCTCAGCCCCACCCACCTCACAGGGTGTCTGTTGTGGGGAGGGGAAGGGAGAGGAGTTTGTAATCCGCTCTGAGACTCCTTTGGGTAGTGAAGGGCGGGGTATAAATCCAATCTCTTCTTCTTCTTTTTACTTGATTGTAGGTTAGTGGGGGCTGTAAATAATTGTTTCAAGAACTCTTGTTGGCAGAGTAAGCAGCAGCAGCAGTAGAGGCAGGGTAACAGTTCAGATGGGAACACTCTTATTCATATGGTCTCTTCTTTTTCTCCCCCCCCCCCAGCATCACGCGAAGAGTTTGCAGCTCCCTCAGACAGCAAAGCAGATGGTAAGTAGGTGCTTCAGGTTTCCAGTAGGGGGAGCAAACAGCACTACACACGAACTGGGCTGGGGGGAGGGAGGGTGACTGTGAAGAACAGTCTAAATGCAGTTGGTCAAGTGTGTAGTTCTGCATTGGCTCCCCCCCCCCCCCCTTTTTTTCCCAAACGTTTTCTTCCCGCGCGGGCGTCAGGTTTTTTTTTTTTTAAAGGTTCGGCTTATAGCGATATATGCCCCCCCCCCCCCTTATTTTCCCAAACCCACCTTGGAACAGAAATTCTCCCTCCGCATTGCATGCCGCTTTCACTTTCTTTGCTTTGCTCATCGGGTTTTATGGTACCCTCTACACTGCATGTCGCTTTCACTTTCTTTGATCGTTGGGTTTTATGGTACCTTCTGCAGATTTATGGCCGTTCAGGGGTGACTTCGCAGTCAGTACGGTGTTGCCCCCGCCGCAATGTTCCCTCTACGCTGTGGAGTCTTGTGAGCAAAAATTCTACTTTGTGAGCTACCGGCATTAAAATTGTGAGCGAGCGATTTGGCTGCTGCATAAATTAGTCTGCTCTGGAGCCGTCCTTCCTGAGCTAAGACAAAAATCTGTGAGCTGGAGGCTAAAAAACTGTGAGCTGGCTCACACTAACTCAGCTTAGAGGGAACAGTGCCCCCCCGGCGGGGGGTATCTGAATGTGGATTTGAGCTTCACCTTTCCCCTCACTGTTGAGAAAATGCGGAACGAACGCCAGATGCAGAATCGCCCAGTATCTCCGCTATAGAAGTTATTTCCAGAGTCTCTGGAATGCATATATATATTCATGTGTTGTTGTTATTAAGATTGCTGTGTTTTCTTGCAGAGGATGACGCCTGGGATCTGATCACTTGCTTCTGCTTAAAGCCTTTTGCCGGGAGGCCCATGATCGAGTGCAACGAATGCGCCACCTGGATCCACCTCTCGTGCGCCAAGATCCGCAAATCCAACGTGCCCGACATCTTCATCTGCCAACGGTGCCGTGACGCAAAGCAAGAGATCCGTCGCTCCAACCGTGCCCGCACCGTGCCACGCAAGCGCTTTTGCGACTGACTCTGGCTTAAGGGGCAGCTGGGTTCCCTTTAACGCCTAATCGGATCCCAGAGATGCAAGACAATCAAAATGCAGGAACGGCTCCCTGGGGAGTGGCATACCCCTATAATGAAAGTGGTCCCCCCCCCAAAAAAAAAAATGCTTTGAGACTCTAGGATAGTGAAAGGTATCTTTAAGGCTGGTGGGCACTGTTCTCCCCGTGACAGAACCCGTAAAAGGGATGCTGTTGATCTCAGGGTTACACCAGAGTAGGAGATGCGAAGGCGGCCGGCAGACACAAGTGACTGGTTTGGTGGGTTCCAGTGCACAATGCACTACGTCAGCCAGAAGGCCTCTTTGCCTGTCTGCGGATACAGCTCGGTGCCTTTCTTCCAGGGGGGGGTGTTAGCCCAAATTTAGTTCTAGCGTGGTACGAGATAGCCACCTGGGTTTGTGCGGTTATACTTCCCCAGTCTTTTTTTTTTTTTAGTTCTCTGGCAAAGCCTAGCCCACCCTTTTTGAAACAAGTCAGCTTTCATCTCCAGGAACTTTCTCAGAGGGGGGGGGAAACACATCTACATCATAAGGCCGTTTTCCTTCCGAAGCAGAGCAGGTATCAGAAAACAAGCAGCTCTTGTGTTTCTGCTCCCCGAATGGCAGCCCTGGCCAGCTGCCATCCGACCTGGAGGTGGGGGCGATCGCTTCTGGGTCTTTTAATAAGCCTGCCGTGTTCACAAGCTTGGCAGGGCCTTTGTCAGGCTAGCCACTGACTGGACGGAGGGTGGGTGGGTGGGGAGGAGAGAGGCGAGGCCCCCGCACCGGCTTCATGTAAATACCTTTGTACACCGATACGTAGAAAAACAGCTAGATGAGACTTCCACTTGTACCCGCCTCTCGTTCTAGACCACCTGTTGCACTAGTGTCTTATCTAAAAAAGGAAAGCAGGCAGTGCGGGAGAAGACCAAAGCTCGTTTTAGTGGAAGAGACGAAGGGCGACTTTTGCAAACTGCAAAGAGGGCGGTGGTGGGTAGGCCACAGTCTCCACGGCAGTGAGCTTGAGTGAAAAAGCAGATTGGGTCCTGCTTTTTTTTTTTTCCTTTTCGTTTTTGAGAATTCTCTCCCAGGTCAGGATCTTCCACCTTGGGTTAGCAGGGGGGGGGGGAGATGGTAGAATAGGAATCTGCTATGCAAACCACTGCTGCTTAAAAGGCAAGCGTGCCAGCAAAAGGCTCACTGTACCCTGCCCTCCGGGACTCTTCTTTGACCCATGTGCCTTCTGTCTATGCATTTCACACAATGGCTGTGCCAGTAACAACAGTCTCACTTTCCCCTTTGACTTAAGAGGGGACCGGCTGCCCCGTTGTTACGCTGCAGGAAGGCTACAGGGACTTTTACCCCCACGGTTCAGTCAGTGCCCTCCTCTCCCCTCCCAAATGTTTACACTTTTATAGTCACTTTCTATTAAAGATGTATAGTAGTATATTCTGGTCCTTGTCTGTCGAGTGTCTGGAATTACGTGTATAGAATAAAAACAACTTTTAATCATAATCGTTCTTTTAATCACTGTTCTTCATTTCACAAGCCTGGACATGTGTTAAGTATAGAAGGGAAGGAGGAATTTGTGGGTGCCGCATGACGGAGTGAGCTCCCGTCTCTAGTTCCAGCTCCTGCCAACCTAGCAGTTCAAAAGCAAGAAATTGCAAGTAGATAAATAGGGACCACTTCGGTGGGAAGGGAACAGCATTCTGTGCGCCTTGGTGTTTAGTCACGCCGGCCACATGACCACGGAAACGTCTTCGGACAGCGCTGGCTCTTTGGCTTGGAAACGGAGATGAGCACCGCAACCCTAGAGTCGGATTCGAATGGCTTTCGAGCAAGGGAAACCTTTACCTTTACTTTTTAAACATCCTTTTGCTTTGTGTAACTTTTATTTGATTGCATTCGTAATTAAAGAAAAGGCTTTGGGAAGACGTCCCTTTCCACAGTAGCTGGCCTGTTAGGCTGCATTAAAGAGTACTTTAGTATTCAACAATGTGTGTTAGGAGGGTATGCAAAATACGCAAGTTATATTATGAATAGAATTCTCTTAACAGATGGGAGGCAGACCTCAAGTTTGTCACTTGGTTCTGTGCGTTGACTTGGGATACCAAAGGCATGTTTGTGGGTAGAAAAGTGTCAGGTGCCCTTGGATAATCAAGGAGCCCAGCTGCTAAAAATTTACCTGCGCCTGTAAAGTGGCACTTGTCTCAGCGGAGGGCAGGGTGCATGTCGCAGTTTGTCCAAAATAAACACATGTAATACATCAAAACCGAACAAAACACTCTGGTATTTTGCCCAATCTTAAAGTATGACAATGGAAAGTGTCAGTTTGTTTGGGTATCAGTTTTCCAGTATGAACATAAGAGAAGCCAATGTTGGATCAGGCCAATGGCCCATCCAGTCCAACATTCTGTCACACAGTGGCCAGAAATACCAGGTGCCATCAGGAGGTCTAGCAGTGGGGCCAGGATACCAGAAGCCCTCCCACTATTGCCCCCCCCCCAGCACCAAGAAAGCCGAGCATCCCTTGCCCCGGAGTCCCTATCTATACCTTGTGGCTAATAGTCACTGATGGACCTCTGCTCCATATGCTTATCTAATTCCCTCTTGAAGCCGTCTATGGATTGTGGCTGCCGTCACCTAATGTGGCAATGAATTCCATGTGTTAATCACTCTGGGTGAAGAAGGACTTCCTTTTATCCGTTCTAACCCAATCGCTCAGCAATTTCATGGAGTGCCCACGAGTTCTTGTCTTGTGAGAAAGGGAGAAAAGTACCTCTTTCTCGACCTGCTCTATCCCATGCATAATCTTACAGACCTCGATGATGTCAGCTGTCATTCCTCGGAGCGTGAGAGCCCCAAGTGCTTTAACCTTTCTTCACAGGGAAAGTGTTCCAACCCTTTGATCATTCGAGTTGCCCTTTTCTGCACTTTTTCCAAAGCTATAATATCCTTTTTAAGGTGCGGTGACCAGAACTGTACACAGTATTCCAAATGAGGTCGCACCGTTGATTTATATAGGGGCATTATGATATTGGCTGATCTGTTTTCAATTTTTGTAAACACACAAGATCAGTGGGCTTAGTAGTGACCAGTTCCACTGGGTTCCATGAATGACTAAAGGTAACACAATACATTGTGACATATCGATAATTCTGCGATGAGTGCCACAGGGAGCTAGTCCCCTTGTCACCAAAGCTCTAGTTGTCGAAGATGGCCGACTCAGGGACTGGTCTTATTGAAGAAGAGATTGGATTTATACCCCGCCCTTCACTCAGAGTGGCTTAGAAGAAGAGGTTGGATTTATCCCCCGCCCTTCACTACCCAAAGGTGTCTCAGAGCGGCTTACAAACTTCTTTCCCTTCCCCTCCCCACAACAGACACCCTGTGAGGTGGGTGGGACTGAGAGAACTCTGACACAAACTGCTCTTTTTCAAGGACAGCTGTGCCAGAGCTTGTGACTGACCCAAGGTCACATCAGCAGGTGCAAGTGGAGGAGTCGGGAATCAAACACGGTTCTCCCAGATTAGAGTCTGCACACTTAACCACTACACCAAACTGGCTCTTACTGGTGAAGATTGGGGCTGTTAAACTTTATTTTGAGGAAGAGTTAAAAGTGATGATGGTTGGAATTACTCCGGCGAGGAAATGTGTTTGGGGGGAGGGCATCGTGCCTTGTTTCGACTCTGGCTTTGGGTGCAAAGGGTGACTCTGCCTCCACCTTTGGGTATAAACCTCTAGAATCAGTCTAAAACTAATGCTGCAAACGAAGGCCACAATGCGTTCTAGCAGTAGGTCTGGAGGGGGGGGGGGCGATCCACAAATACACCCCATAATATTCCGTTCCTCTAGATGCCGAACCATTTGCATACCCGTTTGCTTCCCTCCCAAACTTATCCAAGCTCAGGCATCTGTAAATTGCAGCTGGGGATGGTAGCCAACCCCCCCCCCCTCCCCTCAGTAGCCAGTTGCTGCAAAATGGTCTGACCAGTTTTCCATTAACAAGTTGTACGGCTCTTTAGAAACTAATATCTCTGCTGGGAAGACATCATGAAATAAGCTCGCTTTTGGGGGAGAGGGAGAAATGTTATACTTCACATAGAAGAGATTGGATTTATACCCCGCCCTTCACTACCCAAAGGTGTCTCAGATCAGCTTACAAACGCCTTTCCCTTCCCCTCCCCACAACAGACACCCTGTGAGGTAGGTGCGGCTGAGAGAGCTGACAGAAACTGCTCGTGAGAGAACAGCTCTGACAGAACTGTGGCTTGCCCAAGGTCATCCAGCGGGTGCAAGTGGAGGCGTGGGGAATCAAACCCAGTTCTCCCAGATGAGAGTCCGCACACTTAACTAGCTCATAGAAGGTTACCAAGTTCACATACTACCTACTCCAGGTAAAAGGGTCTCAGCTAATAGGGCATAGATTGGTCCAAATAAGACCCCCGGGGGCCACTGCTTTAGAGTGGTCAGAGCTGGGCACCAGAGACAGCTTCATAGGTTCAAGGCTGCAATCCTGTGCCCAGTCACTTAGGAGGCAGCCGCATTAAACCTAAGAGGACTTACAAAATAAAAACACACCACCTGTGACCAATGCTCCCTCTAAGCTGTGGAGTCTTGTGAGCAGAGGTCATTTCTGGGGGGAACGCAGTTCCCCCGGGTGAGGTACCGGGGGGCGGGGCACATGACGAAGCCCCGCCCCCTGCCTCCAGTCGCCCGCTTCCGGCCCTCATTCAGCCAGGAGGAGGCAGAAGAGGGAGGGTAAGTTGCTTCCTCCCCGCCTCTCCCCACTCCTACCTGCCTGGGGCCAGGGAGGGCCTTCGCGGGGCTTCCTTGCACTCCCACCGGCCTTGCAGGTCCACCGCCGGGCCCCTCATGGGGCTCGGCAGTGGAGCTGCAAGGCCGGCGGTGGCGGCCGTGACCATTGGGGGCGGGGTGTGTGGCCTTATGACACACGTCCGGTGATGTCAGGGGGTGTGGCATATGCTAATGAGTTCCCCTAGCTCTTTTTCTACGAAATGACCCCTGCTTGTGAGCAAAAATTCTACTTCGTGAGCGACCGGCATTAAAGTTGTGAGCAAGCCATTTGGCTGCTGCATCAATGAGTTTGCTCTGGAGCCATCCTTCCTGAGCGGAGACAAAGATTTGTGAGCCGGAGGCTAAAAAACTGTGAGCTAACTCACACTCACTCAGCTTAGAGGGAACACTGCCTGTGACGTGAGTATCGCTGAAACTCCCTGGCCAGTGGGCATGAAAAGGCTGTTTTCACCAATCACATAGCACAGAAACAGGGTGAACTTTTTGTACTGTCCGTGCTCTCTCAAAATTTCGTGGCTGAGAAGGTATCCAAGACGGGCATAGAGGGATCTCAATAAACAGCTGATGCTGCTTTGCAGCAGTTGAATAACCAGCTATGGGCCTAGAGCTACAACCTCTTTTTGAAGCAAACGCCTCTGCTTCAAAAAGCAAATTGCCAGGAGAGAAGTTCAAGCCTCAGGTACCATTTCATTCATGTTTCAAGCACAGGCAACCTGTGTGCAATTCCTTTCCTCCGGATTACAGAACATTTTGTGTGAAGGAGCCCTAAAGCTTTTTCTTTTCAAATGTTAAAGGGACTGGGCTAAGCTTTTGGTTTTCAGAGCTTGTGCTGCAAAGATTGCGTGGTTCATTGTCGCCACCAGATGCAGGGGGATGGAACATTGGCAGAGTCTTCAAAACCTGCCATCCCAATAGTTACATTCCTAGTATGTAATAAGGGCCGTGGTGGCGCAGAGGTTAAGGCGCTGAGCTGCAGACCGGAAGGTCGCTAGTTCAGCAGTTCGAGACCTGAGTGTGCCGCATGACGGAGGGAGCTCCCGTCTCTGGTCCCAGCTCCTGCCAACCTAGCAGTTCGAAAGCAAAAAATTGCAAGTAGATAAATAGGTAACCACTTTGGTGGGAAGGTAACAGCATCCCGTGCGCCTCGGTGTCTAGTCATGCCGGCCACATGACCACGGAAATGTCTTCGGCTTGGAAACGGAGATGAGCACTGTTCCCTAGAGTTGGATTCGACTGGCTTTCGAGCAAGGGAAACCTTGACCTTTATAGTACGTAATAAAGCAACCACTAAGAAGTAGGCAACCATTTTGGCCCGAGAGCCAAAAAAACTACAATATGTACTCGTGAAGGTGTTGGGCAAAGAAAACAGGACAGGGGCAAGGTTGGTACTTGGTCAGACACACTTGGGGCAAACCCCACCCTGGCAGCGTTTGCCAGCACCTGAAAAATCCACCTTCGTCTTAGCCGGTAAGTAGTGCAGATCTAGGGGGCGATACAGCCATGGGTCGCCTTCTCTCGTGGCTCAGGCAGAGATCTGGCCCTGGACGCCAAGCAAACTGGGGACCCTAATCAGCTGGAGAAGCAACACAAAAATGTTTCAAATAAATAAAATGAGCCGGAGCACCGCTGTTGGGTACATGTGCCAGGGTTGTCTAGCCCTAATTTAAACAAACGAACAGAGTGATTTAAGCATGGAAGGGCGCACCTTCCCTCCATCTCTGCCTTTAATATCTCGCTCTTCACTGGCACCTTTCTTTTCGTGCCCCAGGATGGCTGCTGGCAGGAGATAGACGGCTACGGCGGATGCCCATTGCAGGACTAAGTATGGCAGGGTGGGCAGCCTGATAACCAGTGCTCCCTCTAAGCTGTGGAGTCTTGTGTAGAGATGTGAAGGCCCAGGAAAAAACCGGAAAAATGCGCGGGGGTGGTGTTCAAATATTTTCCAAATCATTTCTAAAATATATATATATGGTATCAGATTGATCTAATTTCTGTGCACTGAGGACAAGCAAGTCCTAGGTTACAAACTGAACTCTCCAATGCAAGAACAAGATGCATTTCTTCCTTTAGGAGGTGCGAGATTGTCAGAATAAAAAAAAAGTTTCAGTTTTGTTTTTGCATGTGGTAGGGTATTCTGTTTGTAATAATTGTTTGGATACACTATATTTTTAATATGCTAGTTGTGATAATTTCATGCCAAGTAAAAATGTCCATAGTCATATTTTATGTTCCTAAAGTAACAGAATGACTTTCAATCTAGAAAAGACAAAAGAAATGCTAATATAGCATTTTTTTTCAATTTTTCTGAAAATTTCCATTTTTTTCTGGAAAAAAACGGGGGGGGGGGAACGGGGTTTTTTTTCCGAGCTTCAAAATTTTCAGAAATTTTACATCTCTAGTCTTGTGAGCAAAAATTCTACTTTGTGAGCTCCTGTCATTAGACCTGTGAGCGAGCAATTTGCCTGCTGCATAGATTAGTTTGCTCTGGAGCCCTCCTTCCTGAGCTGAGACAAAAATGCACGAGCCTGAGGCTAAAAATACTGGGAGCTAGCTCACACTACCTCAGCTTAGAGGGAACACCGCATACCCCACCTTGGGAGATCCTCCAATGGCAGCCACAACTCCCACCCAAAAGATTCCGAACTCAGATCCACCTACCGGGCAATGGCCTTGCCCACTTTCTTGGCACATACGGCAGGTACCACAGCATCAGCAGGTAGCGTTAGCAGCGGGAACAGTGGTCCCAAGTGTTTGCAGGAAGGCATACATCCTAAGTTCTTACCATTTAAGCCAGGGCTCCCCAACCGTTTCAAACCAGCTGGCATCTTTGGAATTCTCTGACCCAGGGTGGAGGGCACAATCACAAAACGGCTGCCACAGGAGGCAGATCCAACCACAAAATCTCACACAGCGAGGTCATAGGTCACTTGTAATACTAACTCCTTAACATATTAAGCAGGATGGCTTTCAATGTGCACAGCCAATCAGAGACCCTGCTGGCCCGATGCCCCACCTAGGCCCTCCCAGATTCTAAAAACACTTGGCAGGCACCAGGAAAGGTGTCAGCCTGGTGCTGTGGCGCCCAGGGGCATCAAGTTGGGGACATCGGTTTAATGGTTGACATCCCTGCTACACACTCCCTGCCTCCTTTCCAGCCATTCCATCCCAACTCAGACCAGTCGGGTTAGAACGGATTAAAAAGAAGTCCTTCTTCACCCAAAGAGTGATTAACACCTGGAATTCTTTGCCACAGGAGGTGGTGGCGGCTACAAGCCTGGACGGCTTCAAGAGGGATAAACATATGGAGCAGAGGTCCATCGGTGGCTATTAGCCACAAGGTATAGATAGGAACTCTCGGCCTGGGGCAAGGGATGCTCTGTCTTCTTGGTGCTTGGGGGGGGGGGGGGCAACAGTGGGGGGGTTTCCAGTGTCCTGGCCCCACTGCTGGACCTCCTGATGGCACCTGTTATTTTTGGCCACTGTGTGACAGAGTGTTGGACCGGATGGGCCACTGGCCTGATCCAGCATTGGCTTCTCTTATATGTACCTGTTGCCTCTGCTAGCCCATTTCCATCCTCTTTCCTACACCAGTTTGGTGTAGTGGTTAAGTGCGCGGACTCTAATCTGGGAGAACCGAGTTTGATTCCCCACTCCTCCACTTGCACCTGCTGATGTGACCTTGGGTCAGTCACAAGCTCTGGCACAGCTGTCCTTGAAAAAGAGCAGTTTCTGTCAGAGCTCTCTCAGCCCCACCCACCTCACAGGGTGTCTGTTGTGGAGAGGGGAAGAGAAAGGAGTTTGTAAGCCGCTCTGAGACTCCAAGTGAAGGGCGGGGTATTAATCCAATCTCTTCTTCTTCTTCCAATTATGTCTTCAACACCAAACCACAGGGACTACACATAGTTCAAAGTGATTTATTTTATTTTACTTTTTTTTTTTTTTTGCTCAACAGAAGTCACAGCCGAACCAAAATAACCACAGTGTACAATCTGGCTGGCCGGTTCGGCCTTCTAAACAAATGTCTGACAGTAAACTAAGCTTTTTCTAAGTAAACTAACCTTTTCCTAAATAAAGTAACAATTCTCCAAAAAAGCTTATGAAAAGTTATCTAAAGGGTATCTTGTCTTCCCAAGTGGCAAAGAGCACCAGGGGCTGAAACGCCTGAAAAAATAGTAACTCTCAAACTGACAACCGCACAAAAAAATAAATCTGTTTTAAATGTGCAAGAACAGGAGGCGTCTCATCTTGCTGACTGCAGGGCTATAAGAAAAATCATCCCAAAAGTTATATCATGTTTGATATCAGCAAAACCTTTAGCAGCCTACTCCTCTGCGTATTTTATTTAGGCGTGAGGTCCAGAGACTTCAGCAGCACTTGCTCCTGTATACGTGAACTGCAGCTCTGAATTGGATCTTGTCCAGACTCCGGCTCTTCACCACCCAGTCATTCATCCAGTTCGGATCAGAAGAACTACAGAACACCGGGGGACAAAATCAAAGTCTCCTGCACAGGGTCTTGACGAAGTACTAGCATCTCCTTTTAAACTGTGTAGACTCTCGCCTTTTAAAAAGCAGGAAGGAAAAATCAGAATGAGTCTACTCAAAAAGCTGAAATTCATCATTCCGGTCTCAGTGGGCAGCGTTCATTGATTCTTCAGATGGCTGGCAGGTAGAATGATCACTTCCTTCTCGAGGAAGGAGCAGAAGTAGAATTCAGCTGGCAGTGAAATGGCCTTTGGATAACAAAAGAGCACCGAGTGTACTTTTCCGTACATGTTTCCAGAAGTCAGGTTACCTGGCTGGGCAGCGCTATTCTTTGTGGCAGGGAGGTACTGTGGCGGCTTCAAGTCCTCTGACCTGGTCTAGAATTGCCCAGAGCAAGTACTGCCTGCTTTTTCTAGAAGACCCAGAGGAAAGACGGACGTTGCTACTGTAGCTCTGCTGCTCCCTCGCATAGCTGGCAGTCTGCAAGTGGACAGGGAAGGGGGAATCTGGCAGGAACTCGAATCACCATTTGCAAGCCCATTTTCACGCACAGGAATGCAGCAAACCATTTTTTTTTTCTCAAACACCCGTTGGAAAAACCAGAAAAGAGAGTTGACGGTTACTAGGAGAAGGCACGTCTTTCGGAGAGTCGGGAAGCTCGAACTCCCCCGCCGCTTTATTCTTCTTTAGCCCAAGCGGCAGCACTTTCCTTCTGCTCCAGGTACGGGACTACGGCATCCGTGTAGAACTTCTCCAGCTTGGGCACGGTGGCGTCCCAGAAAATGGGGTCGAACTCCACGGGGGCGATGGCCGTCTCTTTGTTAGTGTGGACGACGAAGTCGGCCTTCTTGAGGCCGGTGACTCCCATCTGGCACTGCACCTGCGTGTAGTACGGGTGGTCTTTCTTCAGCGTATAGGAATCACCCTCCTTCTCCAGACAGAAGTTTTTATCCTTGCAGGCATCCGTCACCGTCTTGTCTCTGTGTTTATAGGGACACTTGACTTCCACGACGGCTAGCTTTTTACCGGTATGGGGTTCCCGGGCGATCCCGTCGGGGCTGGCGGCGAGCCACGGCTTTCCCTTGTCAATGTAGAGCCCGGGGTCTTCAACCGTCACCGCCTTCCTGCTCTTGCTGGACTTAATGGCTTCGTAGGCTTCTATGGCTTTCTTCTCGTTCCGGATACCCCAGGACATGGCTGGGGTCGTCACGCTGGGACCTGAGTTCACGACGGCTTTCAGGTAGGACTGGGGTACCTCGGAGCTCCGCCCGTTGGCAAACTTGCTGTTGGCGATCTTGGGGGCGACCGAAGCGGTGATACGGTTCTCCCTCCATTTGTACCATTCGGGGTTCGTCCGCTGACCCCGCGTCTGGCACTCGATCTCAGCCACATCCAGCGGTGGGGAATAACCACTCGCCTTGCCTTGCTTTTTGGCGGTAGCCAGCGACGGGCTTGCATAACTATCCACCTCGACATGGGTGTTATCGGCATGAGGTTTTCCACCTCCGCTGGCAGTGGAGGTCTTGGCTCTGGCGCCACGGCTGCTCTTCGCATCTCCTTGACCGCCAGCGTGTACAGCCGCGGACTTGGTCTGGCAACTCTGGCTTGTCGCGCCGGCGCTTGGGACGGAGGCTGGCTTCTCCCCTTGTCCTCGCCTGCCACCTCCGCTCTTCGCGGCTGGAGCGCTCGAAGCTTTGCCGCTAGCGGGTGTCGCCTTGGACGAGGCTGAAGAGCGAGGGGCCGCCGGGGCGGCTTTTGGCGCCGTGGTGGCGGGCCGAGGGGAGGACACGTCTGCGGTTTTTCGGGGTCTGCCCATTGTTCAGCTTTGCGGAAATTCTTGTTCTGCAAGTACAACAGAAAGAAAAAGGTAAACAGCTTGCAAATGAAAAAAGACACCTGCTAGACAAGGGAGTCCTGCCGCTTCTAGAATATGCCTATGTGGTATGGATGAAGTGGATGATGTCAAGCATTACATTCTGAGATGTTTATGGCACGAATCACTTAGGCAAAGGTTTATTTATCCTATTGTACCTCTGTATAATGGAATTGCTGAGCAGGATTTGACTGTGTTCTTGCTTTCTGATACTGATGCACATGTTACTAGCAGAATGGCTTTGTTTGCACTGGCGGCAAAAAAGATAAGACGGGGTCTAGGACTTGCTGCAAGCTATTGATGTATATTTCTGTTGTGCTTTGATTTACTTTGTGCTGTTATGGCCAATGGCGAAGACAATAAACGAAACTTGTAAACTTGTAGACAAGGGAGTCTCTTATGCCCCCAAGGCCTTTGTTCGCACTACTTTGCCACACATTGGAATGGATACAGATTTAATAGTATGTCCAAATGTCCTGAATTAACTGGGATTCGGCCACAAGGTAAGTGAATCCTGGTGGTGTTAAGTCGGTTGTAGCAAGAACACCTATCAAATTAGCTCAGATCCACAATAAAGAGGTTTGTCATTACGGTTCTCGAAGACTTTCTCTGTGTGTTGCTGAACTAGCAGACTAGGGTTGTGTATGGAAGAGACCAGACAGGCCATCTACTCCAACCCCCTGCTCAATGCAGGATCAGCCTAGAGCATCCCTGACAAGCGTTTGACCAGCCGCAGCTTAAAGATTGCCAGGGAGGGGGAGCTCACCACATCCTTAGGCAGCTGATTCCACCGCTGAACCACTCTGACTGTAAAAATAAAATTCTCTAATTTCCAGCTGGTACCTTTCCACCTATAATTTAAACCCATAATTGCGTGGCCTGACCTCTGCTACCAACAGGAACAGATCCCTGTCCTCCTGAGAGCCAGTTTGGTGGCTCCCAGTTATGGTTTTCTGCTCATGGAGTTGGGAATTCACATTCTCTCCTCCTCCTTGCTTTCTCCTTGAGAGTCAGTTTGGTGTAGTGGTTAAGTGCGCGGACTCTAATCTGGGAGAACCGGGTTTGATTCCCCACTCCTCCACTTGCACCTGGCTGGATGACCTTGGGCAAGTCGTAGTTCTGATAAGAGCTGTTCTTGAAAAAGAGCCGTTTCTGTCAAAGCTCTCTCAGCCCCACCTACCCCACAGGGTGTCTGTTGTGGGGAGGGGAAGGGAAAGGAGTTTGTAAGCTGCTCTGAGACTCCCTTGGGTAGTGAAGGGCGGGGTATAAATCCCATCTCTTCTTCTTCTAAGTGACAGCCCTTCAAATACTTAAAAAAAGAGCCATCACATCCAATTCTCACTCTAAGCTGTGGAGTCTTGCGAGCAAAACTTCTACTTTGTGAACTACTGGCATTAAAGTTGTGAGCGAGTAATTCAGCTGCTGCATCAATTAGTTTGCTCTGGAGCCATCCCTTCCTGAGCTAAGGCAAAAATCTGCTGAGCCAGAGGCTAAAAAACTGTGAGCTAGCTCACACTAACTCAGCTTAGAGGGAACACTGCCCCCCCCCCCACCTCCTCTTCTCCAGACTAAACATTCCCAAGTCTCTCAGCCTTTCCTCATACGGTTGGTTTCTTCTCCCCGAAAGCTACAAAAGCCCCCAAATCCTATCAAAATACTCAACATCACTGTAGTTAACAGCATCTCCCCCTTTTGGTTCTTTCTGTGTCTCGGATAGGTGTGCCAGAAGTCCTGATTTACCAATCGGGTTGCAGATTTCTTAGGGCGCTTCCCGCCAGCGAACAATTCCTGAGATGAGCCAGCAAACCACAGAAGCTGCTCCACCGTGAACAGCTACTGGGACACAGCCGCAGAGACAATGTGACACTTTCACATACTTTGAATCATCCATTTTCAATGCAATTTAGCGACCGCAAGTGGATTTCAACACAGTAAAATCCAGTTGCAAAATGCAAAGAGAGTGGATGAAAAGTGCATTATTCTCTCTGTGGGGGTGTGTCATGACCAATGTTCCCTCTAAGCTGTGGAGTCATGTGAGCACAAATTCTACTTTGTGAGCTACTGGCATTAAAGTTGTGAGCGAGTGATTTGGCTACTGCATAAATTAGTTATCTCTGGAGCCCTCCTTCCTGAGCTGAGACAAAAATGTGTGAGCCGGAGGCTAAAAAACTGTGAGCTAGCTCACACTAACTCAGCTTAGAGGGAACACTGGTCATGACCCCCAGAGGGGTCTTTGGGTTTTCGCCGCCACCACCCTGGACTTTCGGGTCCCTCGGGAGTCCCAGGGTAGCTTCCCTTCAAGCCCTTGCTAACCGAGTGTTACAGGCGTGAATGACCCAGGCAGACACCAACCAAATCACACAGAACAGGGTTTATGAGGAAAATTGGGCAAGGTGCGTCAACTGGGTAACAGAGGGAAAGGTCAAATGAAAATAAACTAACGCCACTGCCTTACTGGGCTTTTCCTATCAGGTCCCAGCCTGCCTAACTCACTCAAGCTCCTCCTTCCCCCAGCCCGGCCTGTCTCTCACGAGACCCAGCCGCAGGGAGGCAAAGGACTAAGTCTCACTCAGAGACTCCAGCTACCATCAACCAGCAGCCCGCAACTGCCTTAAACTGTCTTTCCCCCCAGACTTCGTTCCCAACAGACTCTAACAGTCTCTTTAGAATCTTCTCTGACTCTCCCAATGCCTTCTGGGAGTTGTAGGCCTAGCCGCCTCCTACTGCCACCCAGGCCTCTTAGGCTGGCTAGGCCATACTGGCACAGGCCAGATCATGACAGGGTGACCACCAGCGGTTATATACTAGTGGGTTAAATGTCATTAGCCTTGGAAGCACAGGTGCTTTTTCACAGTATCCCCGATTCTCCACATCTCCTGGTGAAGGGAAAAACACTGTTCAAACCAATTACGAAGATGACCTGAGTCCAATGGTAACAAGAGAAAGACATTTTACTTACGGACACAGAACCACATCATACATGACATATTCATGTAGGGACATTTAACTTGTTGTGAACAGATTAACTTCAAATAGGTTAACTTGCTACAGCTCCAAGCCCAGGTTTGGGGGGGGGGGAGGTGGAGATTAGTTTTATACCCCACCCTTCACTAGAAGAAGAAGAGGAGATTGGATTTATACCCCGCCCTTCACTTGGAGTCTCAGAGTGGCTTACAAACTCCTCTCCCTTCCCCTCCCCACAACAGACACCCTGTGAGGTGGGTGGGGCTGAGAGAGCTCTGACAGAAACTGCTCTTTTTCAAGGACAGCTGTGCCAGAGCTTGTGACTGACCCAAGGTCACATCAGCAGGTGCAAGTGGAGGAGTGGGGAATCAAACCCGGTTCTCCCAGATTAGAGTCCGCGCACTTAACCACTACACCAAACTGGCTCTCCACTATCCGCTAGGAGTCTCAGAGCGGCCTACAAACTCCTTTCCTTTCCCCACCCCACCACAGACACCCTGTGAGGTGGGTGGGGCTGAGAGAGCTCTGACAGAAACTGCTCTTTTTCAAGGACAGCTGTGCCAGAGCTTGTGACTGACCCAAGGTCACATCAGCAGGTGCAAGTGGAGGAGTGGGGAATCAAACCCGGTTCTCCCAGATGAGAGACCTTGCACTTAACCACTACACCAAACTGCCTATAAGAAGAGAGGTCCTGTGAAATATGAAACACAGAAGGCAAGCAATGGCCAAGGAGAGAGGAGGGGGGGAGGGGGGAGAGAGAGAGAGAATGAATTATCTTAAGTAGAGAAGAAGAGATTGGATTTATACCCCGCCCTTCACTCGGAGTCTCAGAGCGGCTTACAAACTCCTTTCCCTTCCCCTCCCCACAACAGACACCCTGTGAGGTGGGTGGGGCTGAGAGAACTCTGACAGAAACTGCTCTTTTTCAAGGACAACTGTGCCAGAGCTTGTGACTGACCCAAGGTCACATCAGCAGGTGCCAGTGGAGGAGTGGGGAATCAAACCCGGTTCTCCCAGATTAGAGTCCGTACACTTAACCACTACACCAAACTGGCTCTCAGATCCTCCTGCATGCGGAGCTACAACAGCTAATATATACTTTAAGAGTGGCTATTAGGACAGGAATAAGAGATGTGAGCAGCGAGTGACTCACGAAAGCTCCTCCCCTGCCACTAATTTTGTTACCCTTTAAGGTGCTAATGGACTCTTGCCCTTTTCTACCACTACAGACAAACGCGGCTACCCCATCGACCTTCTCAGGCCACCTATTCCACTGTTTGCAAGCTTGCAAGACCTGAGCAAGGCTGTTTTCGTAAGCGACTTGATGGCGCTTCACACACACACACACGCACACACACACAAACACACTCTACAATTTTTGGAATCGTGCTGCAGGTAGGAAGAGGTGGCAGACAAATCCCTTCATCGGCCGTCCCTCTTCCTCCCCCTACTCTGATCCAGCACAAAACCTTCATTCCGTTTGCCAAGGGGTACCATCCAACCTGCCGCGGTGGCTCAAGTGGTTAAGACGCCGAACTGCAGGCTGTGGAAGGTCAGTAGTTCAGCAGTTCGAGACCCGAGTGTGCCGCATGACGGAGTGAGCTCCCGTCTCTAGTTCCAACTCCTGCCAACCTAGCAGTTCGAAAGCAAGAAATTGCAAGTAGATAACTAGGTGCCACTTCGGTGAGAAGGTAACAGCGTTCCGTGCGCCTTGGTGTTTAGTCATGCCGGCCACATGACCACGGAAACGTCTTCGGACAGCGCTGACTCTTCGGCTTTGAAACGGTGCTCAACCCTAGAGTCGGACTCTACTGGCTTTCGAGCAAGGGAAACTTTACCTTTACCATCCAACCTCCTTTATAACAAAGAGGAGATAATGCATCACTTGACTGGGCAATTAGTTTTGGCAGGGCTGGGGAAAACGCCAAACACCCCCGCCAGGCCACACAGGAAGAGAAATGTTTCAGGAGGAATTTATTTCTGTATTTTCTTTATTATGCCTTGGGCTCCTGCTGTTGGGTTTGCCTTAGAAATGCAGAAGCTTTTTCACAGTGCCCCTGACTCTCTGTGTTTCCCAGTTAAGGGGGGAAATTATGTTCAAACCAATTACAAAGATGCTCTGACTCCACTGGGAGCAAGAAGAAGAAATTTTACTTACAAAAACAGAAGCACACATTACAGGCAATGCTCTCTCTAAGCTGTAGAGTCTTGTGAGCAAAAATTCCACTCTGTGAGTTACTGGCATTAAAGTTGTGAGCGAGTAACTTGGCGACTGCATAAATTAGTTTGCTCGGGAGCCCATCCTTCCTGAGCGAAGGCAAAAATGTGCGAGCTGGAGACTAAAAGACTGAGAGCTAGCTCACACTCAGCTTAGAGGGAACACTGATTCCAGATCACGGGAGGTGGTAGTTCCGCTCTATTCTGCTATGGTCAGGCCTCACCTGGAGTACTGTGTCCAGTTCTGGGCACCTCATTTTAGGAAGGACGTTGAGAAGCTCAAGCGTGTCCAGAAGAGGGGAACCAGGATGGTGAGACGGTTGGAACCCAAGTCTTATGAGGAAAGGCTGAAAGGGTTGGGTATGTTTAGCCTGGGAAAGAGAAGGCTTAGAGGGGACAGGATTGCAGTCTTCAAGTATTTGAAGGGCTGTCATGTAGAAGGTGGAGTGGATCTATTCTCTCTTGCTCCAGATTGCAAGACTAGAGCTAACAGGTGGAAATTACAAGGGAGTCGATACCGGCTAAATATCAGGAGAGACTTCCTAACTCCTAACTGTCAGAGTGGTTGAGCAGTGGAACAGACTGCCTCGGGAGGCGGTGGAGGCTCCTTCACTGGACATTTTTAAGCGGAGGCTGGACGACCATCTTTCGGGTATGTTGTAGGTATGTAGGGCTATCTTTCAGTTGTGCTCCTGCAGAGTACAGGGGGTTGATGACCTGCGAGGTCCCTTCCAACTCTGACATTCGATGATTCTATGATTATATGATATACTTATGTAGGGACATTTATGGGGAAGAGGTTAACTTCAAAAAGGTTAACTTGCTACAGGTCAAAGCCCAGGTAAAAAAGAGGCGAAGATGAAACAGAAAAGGCAAGAGAGAGCCACAAACGCTCAAAATCTAACCAATTTGGGGGGGGGGGCTGCCAAGTGTACCCCAGAGAGAGAAAATTCTCTTAACCCTTTCCCTCCCAGCTCCTATTGCACGCAGAGTTACAATATCCAACACCTGGAGGGGGTGGCATATACCTCTCCTAGAAAATAAATTTATGCCCATCTTTGGGCACAGCTGCGGTGGCTCAAGTGGTTAAGATGCTGAACTGCAGGCTGTGGAAGGTTGGTAGTTCAGCAGTTCGAGACCCGAGTGTGCCGCGTGACGGAGTGAGCTCCCGTCTCTAGTTCCAGCTCCTGCCAACCTAGCAGTTCGAAAGCAAGAAATTGTAAGTAGATAAATAGGTACCACTTTGGTGGGAAGGTAACAGCGTTCCGTGCGCCTTGGTGTTTAGTCATACCGGCCACATGAACACGGAAACGTCTTTGGACAGCGCTGGCTCTTCGGCTTGGAAACGGAGATGAGCACCGCAACCCTAGAGTCGGATTCGACTGGCTTTCGAGCAAGGGAACCTTTAATTTATAAGCTTTCATGCCAACCTAGCAGTTCGAAAGCAAGAAATTGCCAAGTAGACAAATAGGTACCACTTCGGTGGGAAGGGAACAGCGTTCCGTGCACCTTGGCATTTAGTCATGCCGGACACATGACCACGGAAACGTCTTCGGACAGCGCTGGCTCTTCGGCTTCGAAACGGAGATGAGTACCGCAACCCTAGAGTCGGATTCGACTGACTTTCGAGCAAGGGAACCTTTACCTTGGGCACAGCAGAAAGTTTTTAACACTCTGAACACATTTTTAAAAGAATGTTTAACAGCAGCCTGGAATGATTAAAAAAAAAATCCAACCCCCCGTATAAAAATCAACATCAACCGCTTGAAAATATTAAGAAAACATCTTCAAGAAAAACTAGCGTTGCCAACCTCCAGGTGGTGGCTGGAGATCTCCGGGAATTACAACTGATCTCCCAGCGGCAGAGATCAGATCGCCTGGAGAAAATGGCTGCTTTGGAGGGCGGACTCTTTGGCATTCTACCCCACGGGAGCCCCCCCCCCAGGCTCCACCCACAAAAACTCCAGTTATTTCCCAGCCCTGAGCTGGCAACCAGTGTTCCCTCTAAGCTGAGTTAGTGTGAGCTAGCTCACAGTTTTTTAGCCTCCGGCTCATACATTTTTGTCTTAGCTCGGGAAGGAGGGCTCCAGAGCAAACTAATGTATGTAGTAGCCAAATGGCTCGCTCACAACTTTAATGCCAGCAGCTCACGAAGTAGACATTTTGCTCACAGGACTCCACGGTTTAGAGGGAGTATTGCTGGCAACCCCTAAGAAAAACCCAACAGTGAAGCAAGCACAAAAGAAATACAAGGGCCCAAGCCCTAAAATCATCCAACCTGGGTTCAGCTCTCCTCTTCGGCTTCTTTTCGTCCGGGGATGAGAAACCAAATCCAGAGGGGTAGTTTTCTGGGTGCCTGTTAACAGTAAAACAAAACTGAAGAATTATCCCTGTATTACAGCATAAGCATTCGTGGACCAAACGCCCTCTTTGGTAGAGCAAGAGAGAGCTGCTTGCAATGGCGAGTTATACAGAGACAAAGGTATAAAAGAGAAGTGGGCAAGGGTTCCCGTTTCCTTATTCGCATTTCCCAGTTTCTTCAAGGTGGGGTGGGGGAGCCGATGTTGCTACAAAGTGAGGCCAGAACAAAACCCGAGAAAATAGGTGCTGTCACACCACTACTGTAGCAATAGAAAAGAGCAAGAGTCCAGCAGCACCTTAAAGACTAACACAATTTGTGGCAGGAGGTGAACTTTCATGAGTCACTACTCCAGATATAGCTAGAATGTGAGACCATCTGTCCTATTCACTGGAAAGTGGAGTGACTTCAGGTGCCTAATGACATTAGCAGGTGTGATTGGATTAGGTGTGATATGCAGAGAGCTGGTAGGCGTGGAGAAATCAGCATTGGTAATGAGACAGGAAACCTAGGTCTTCATTCAGTACAGGGGGATGCATTGTCTTGAGCTTCATTATCAGTTGCAATTCAGCGGTCTCTCTTTGTAATCTCCCTTTGAAATTCCTTTGTAAGAGAACTGCTACTTTCAGGTCAGCAACTGATGTCCTGGAAGGTTAACATGTCCCCCCCACTGGTTTTTAAATGTTGTGGTTTCTGATGCCAGACTTATGTCCATTAATTCTTTGTCAAAGGGACTGGCCTGTTTGTCCACTGTACAGCATGGAAGAGCATTGCTGACACATGATGGCATAAACCACATTAGAAGATGAGGAGTATGAACCTGAGGTAGTATGGCTGATGTTGCTGGGTCCACTCTAGAGATGTGAAGGCCCGGAAAAAAAACGGGAAAATTCGGGGGAAAAACCCGGGGTTTTTTCCGTTCTTTTCCTGAAGCCTTTTTGTTTTTTTCCAAAAAATTGGAAAAAGAAAAGAAAAAAAATTGATTATGGAACGTTTTATTTTAACATGATTAATAAAATATTTTAAGACAAGGTGTTCAAATATTTTCCAAATCATTTCTACAATATATATATATATGGTATCAGATTGATCTAATTTCTGTGCACTGAGGACAAGCAAGTCCTAGGTTACAAACTGAACTCTCCAATGCAAGAACAAGATGCATTTCTTCCTTTAGGAGGTGCGATTGTCAGAAGAAAATAAAAAAGTTTCAGTTTTGTTTTTGCATGTGGGTGGGTATTTTGTTTGTAATACTTGTTTGGCTACACTATATTTTATATGCTAGTTGTGATAATTTCATGCCAAGTAAAAATGTCCATAGTCATATTTTATGTCCCTAAGGTAACAGAATGACTTTCAATCTAGAAAAGACAAAAGAAATGCTAATGTAGCATTTTTTCAATTTTTCCGAAAATTTCCGTTTTTTTCCGGGGGAAAACGGTTTTTTTTTTTTCGAGCTTCAAAATTTCCGGAAATTTTACATCTCTAGTCCACTCACTGATGGCGTTGCGGGGATCTATATGAGAGCAAAGTTGGAACTGTGGTTTGTTGCAGGCCTTGGTACCAGAGTCCATGTGATTGTCCATGGAACTACTACTGCAGAAATGACGAAAGTGAAATTCAGAGCCAGAGCAAAGAATCTAACCCAGGCAAGTATGACCCACTCCAAACTGGAGATGAATGAAACCAGTGGGCAGTAGGTTCAGGACAGACAAAAGGAAATGCTACTTCACAAAAAAACCAAGTTTGAGATTAGTGGCACCTTTAAGACCAACAGAATTTAATTCTGGGTATAAGCTGGGTATAAGGAGCTGCGGTGGCTCAAGACGCTGAACTGCAGGCTGTGGAAGGTCGGTAGTTCAGCAGTTCAAGACCCGAGTCGCCGCATGACGGAGTGAGCTCCCGTCTCTAGTTCCAGCTCCTGCCAACCTAGCAGTTCGAAAGCAAGAAATTGCAAGTAGATAAATAGGTACCACTTCGGTGGGAAGGAACAGCGTTCCGTGCGCCTTGGTGTTTAGTCATGCCGGCCACATGACCACGGAAACGTCTTCGGACAGCGCTGGCTCTTCGGCTTTGAAACAGAGATGAGCACCGCAACCCTAGAGTCGGATTCGACTGGCTTTCGAGCAAGGGAACCTTTAATTTATAAGCTTTCATGCGTATGCACACTTCTGCATGTAGCTGAAGAAGTGTACATGTACACGGAAGCTTATACCCAGAATTAAACTTTGTTGGTCTTAAAGGTGCCACTGGACCCAAACTTGGTTCTGTTGCTTCAGACCAACACAGCTACCCACCTGAATCTACTTTACACAGAGTGATTAAAATGTAGAATTCGCTGCCAGAAGTAGTGATGGCCACATGACTAAACAGCTTTAAAAGGGGATTAGATAGATCAGTGATGGCGAACCTTTTAGAGACCGAGTGCCCAAACTGCGACCCAAAACCCACTTATTTATCGCAAAGTGCAATTTAACCTGAATACTGAGGTTTTACTTTAGAAAAAACAACTCATACATTAACTTAAGACAAAGTAAGGAAAGCAATCCCAAATGCTTTCATTTTCTTAAAATTATTTGGCAGAGAATGCGACACTTTAATGATGGTCTGGGCTTGGCTGGGGCGATGGCACGCGTGCCCACAGAGAGGGCTCTGAGTGCCACCTCTGGCACCCGTGCCGTAGGTTCGCCACCACCAAGACAAAAGGCCTTATCAATACATAATTCTCCTCAATGGCCTTTGGAGTCTCTAGGGCACAGGCGGCAGCTGCTGATGACAAAAATGTGTGAGCCGGAGGCTAAAAAACGGTGAGCTACCTCACACTAACTCAAGCTTAGAGGGAACACTGGTCTCAAGCAGAGGTCTTTCTCATCACCTACCACCTGATCCTTTTAACTGGAGATGCTGGGGATGGAACCTGTGACCATCTGCATGCAAAGCAGAGGCTCCGCCACTGAGCCACGGCCCCTCCCTGAGTATGAAGACCAAGATTGTCTCTGGAAGAGCGTAGGGACCGTTCCTACTTCCGAGTCATTCCTGTTTGGTGTAGTGGTTAAGTGCGCAGACTCTAATCTGGGAGAACCGGGTTTGATTCCCCACTCCTCCACTCGCACCTGGCTGGATGACCTTGGGCAAGCCGTAGTTCTGGCACAGCCATCCTTGAAAAACAGCAGTTTCTGTCTCTCAGCCCCACCTGCCTCCCAGGGTGTCTGTTGTGGGGAGGGGAAGGGAAAGGAGTTTGTAAGCCGCTCTGAGACACCTTTGGGTAGTGAAGGACGGGGTATAAATCCAATCTCTTCTCTTCTGTTTCTAAATGTGGGGCCTTCCCTCTCAAAGCTGTTTATTCTAATCTCAGTGTCTCTCTTGGGGTTTAAATCCATAAAAATCTCTGGGGGGGGGGACTGAAGACAGTGCTGGAATAATCATTAGAACAGAGTAGCTTTCTTGGAAGCCAGTGGGGACCGCTTCTTTCTAACCCAGACCTCATTAACACAGACATATGTTTGCACCAAAGTCACTTTTCTGTGTGTCTTCCTCCCTGAGGCAGGGAGGTACCTTCCAAGTATTCATGTGTGTGTAAAGTGCTCTCAAGTTGCAGCAGACTCCTGGCGACCCCCATAGGGTTTTCAAGGCAAGAGACCAACAAAAGTGGTTTGCCACTGCCTTCCTCTGTATACTAACTAGAGATGTAAAATTTCCGGAAATTTTGACGCTCGGAAAAAACCCCGGTTTTTTTTCGTGAAAAAACGGAAATTTTTAGAAAAAATGAAAAAAATGCTACATTAGCATTTCTTTTGTCTTTTCTAGATTGAAAGTCATTCTGTTACTTTAGGAACATAAAATATGACTATAGACATTTTTACTTGGCATGAAATTATCACAACTAGCATATTAAAAATATAGTGTAGCCAAACAAGTATTACAAACAGAATACCCACCCACATGCAAAAACAAAACTGAAACCTTTTTATTTTCTTCTGACAATAGCACCTCCTAAAGGAAGAAATGCATCTTGTTCTTGCATTGGAGAGTTCAGTTTGTAACCTAGGACTTGCTTGTCCGCAGTGCAGAGAAATTTCTTAGAAATGATTTGGAAAATATTTGAACACCTTGTCTTAAAATATTTTATTCATCATGTTAAAATAAAACGTTCCATAATCAATTTTTTTTCTTTTCTTTTTTCAATTTTTCCAATTTTTCAGAAAAAAACAAAAAAGCTTCAGGAAAAAAATGGGGGGGGGGAACGTTTTTTTTCCGAATTTTTCTGGGCCTTCACATTTCTAATAGTAACTCTGGACGTCAGGGCCGACCCTGGTTATTATACAGCTATACAAAGAACACCTGGGAAAGAAAAAGGCAGGGAGGGGGGGGAGAGAGAGAGAGAGAGAGTGTGTGTGTGTGTGTGTATGTCAGCAGTGGCTGAACATAGCCTAACTCAAACAGGACACAGTATCTTATTCCAAGACACTGAACGGCTGGACAACACATCCAATTACCATGTCAGATTATACAGGGAAGCTACTGAGATTCATAAACATAAACACAATTTCAACAGGAAAGAAGAGAGTTTAAAATAAATAAATAGGGCATGGTTTCCTGTCCTGAAAAAATACAAAATGCTCTACATCTTACAATAACACTACAGAAAAGATTGAATTTCAACAGGCAATCCATATCCATAAGAACCTGCTCAGGAAAGCACCTCCGTTAGCATGTTCACAGCCTGGGGAACTCCTACAAGATAATGACTCAGCCCTACCCCACCTTCCTGAGTAGATATAAATTACCTGCCTACCATTTTTCTTCTCACCTTGACACAGAGAGTACTCCATCTTTCTGTGTTATACCTCTGAGGATGCCAGTCACAGCTGCTGGTGAAACGTCAGGGGCTACAATGCCAAGACCACGGCCATACAGCCTGGAAAATCTACAGGTACTAAAGAGGAATACTGTTGCTAGGCATTTATATACCGCTCAGGAAGGAAGACAAGTCAAGA